CAGGCCTAAGTGAAGAATTTGGCATTCCATCTGATCTTCCAAGTAGGTGGCAGTGCTTGCGCCGTCATTGCTGCCTCCTAAGAGGACATGTCAGCTGGAAGCTGTTTCCAAACAGACTTGTTTGTGGTCCAAAAAATCCATCAGAGAATGTTCTATGTGATTGGTTTTTGTTGGATTAAATCTTTTGTAGGTATCTGTTAGTTTCTGATCAACTTGTACTTTTGTTTGAGTCTTTTATTTTCTCACTTATTTTCTGTCTTGAAATCTTCTATTACTGTTAAATTTTATATTCTTTTCAATTGTATCAATCTATTTTTCTTATATTTTGGCATGTTCATAATTCATAAGTTTTCTTTGGTCTTTGTATCATTTCAGAATATACCTTTTGTCTTCTTAAAATTATTTTTCTTTTCTTAAGATTTATTTGTTTTTATTGTAAAGTCAGATTGATACAGAGAAGGAGACACAAAGAGAAAGGTCTTCCATGTATTTGTTCACTCCCCAAATGGCCACAATCATCAGAACTGAGCTGATCTCAAGCCAAGAGCCAAGTGTTTCCCATGTGGTGCAGGTTCAACATCTTCCCATGCAGAAGATGTTGAGCCATCCTCCTCTGCTTTGCCTAGCCACAAGAAGGAAGCTGGATGGAAAGTGGAGCAGCTGGGATACAAATTGTGCCCATATGGGCTGTTGGAGTTTGTAGGTGGCAGATTAGTGAATTGAGCCATCATTCCAAGCCCCAACAATTCCACCTTAAAGTCTGTTTTGTCTGAAAACAGTGTAGAATAATTTCCCTGTTCATTTTGGTGGAAAATTTTGTTGGATTTGCAATTCTTTATTTGAGAGTTTTCTCTTTTGTTACCTGACTGCTGTCTAGTCTTTATGAGGAGTCAGCTGTGAATTTTACTGAGAATCCCTTGTATATGATGAGTCCGTAATTCCCAGGTTTCCCAGGTTTCTTCCTGCTTTTTGCCTGTGATGTTTCCAGGTTTCATTCTCTGAGTTTATCCTGCCTGGAACTCAGTACCTTGGGTGCATGCATTAGTCTGGATGTGTTAAGATTTTTTTTCCTTTATTTGAAGGGCAAAGTAAGAGACAGAAGAAGAGCTTCCATGTGCTGTTAAATAGCTTCAACAGCCAGCATGGAGTCAGTTTCAAACCGAGAACCAGAACCTCCATCCTGGTCTCCCACATGAGAACCAGTGGCCCAAGTACATGGGTCATATTCTGCTGCCTTTTTAGCAAGAAGCTGGATTAGAAGTGGAATAGCCAGGATTTAAACTGGCCCTCTCAAATGTGATGGCCACATAGCGAGTGGTGTTTTAACCTGCAGTGCCACACCCATCACCCCTAGTGTTTCAATTTGGGAAGATTTTGTCATGATGTTTTCAAGTCATCTTACCATATATGAGACTGTTTGATGGTGTTGACACTGGTCTCTGAGGCTCAATTCATTTATTTAAAAAGATTTATTTTTATTATTTTGTTTTATTGGAAAGGCGGATATACAGAGAGGAGAGACAGAGAGGAAGATCTTCTGTCCAATGATTCACTCCCCAAGTGAGCGCAATGGCCAATGCTATGCCGAACCGAAGCCAGGAGATTCTTCTGGGTCTCCCACGCGGGTGCAGGGTCCCAAAGCCTTGGGCCGTCCTCGACTGGTTTCCCAGGCCACAGGCAGGGAGCTGGATGGGAAGCGGGGCTGCCGGGATAGAACCGGCACCCATATGGGATCCCAGGCGTGCAAGGCGAGGACCTTAACCACTATGCTATCGCGCGGGGCCCTCAATTCATTTTTATTCACTTTTCTCCGTGTGCTTTAGACTGAATGCTCTCAATCGATTTACTTTTTTAAGTTCACTGATGCTTTTTTCATATCTACTTTTGAGTCCACTTGATGAATTTTTAACTACAATAATTAATACAATAGATGAATAAGTACAGCAACAGTGAATTTTCCTTTCATCATAGTCCTTTAAACTCGAAAGTTCCTATTTAAAAAAAAAACAAACTTACTATTGGTTTATTAATGTTCTCTGTTTGGTGAGATAGTATTTTCATACTTAGGATTTTTAGAGATCGCTTCCTCTAGTTGTTTTAGCTGCTAAAATGTGAAGTACTCCCAAAAGAGTGTGGAAAAATGGAATGAAAAGTTGTTTATTTTTGTGCATAAAATGTTTGGAAGTCCACGCATAGTTTTGTCATAGTTGGGATTTTCATGAACTTCTCAAACACTCCACATGTGCATACATGACATTTTTATACAAATAAGCCTATCTTTTCATTCTGTGAGGTACAGTAGGTATCGTGTGAGTACAGGCGTGGGGCTTCTCAGGGATGGTTCACGTTGACTGCTTTGTATTTCTAAACGTAGTTGTATAGTTTGTGATCATCTGTTGAAAGCTGGACATTTTAAATCCCATAAAGTGGCAACTCTGGAATTCATATCCTTTCCTTTTCCAGAAGTTAATTACAGCTGGTGATTTGGGCATGGAGTTTCCTAACTAATACTCTAAAATGTGTATGGAGTGTTCAGCTAGGGACTAGAAAGGAATTTCCTTAAATGCCTGGAGCTACAGATTCTCCTGCCTTCCAACTCCACCCCTCTGTCTGCTTGAACACACCTCCTCAATGTGGCAGGAAATTACAGCCTTGTTAGCTTTCACTTCTTTCTTAGGGTTGAGGTTAGCCGGAGGTGAGGGGTCAGGACTGCCTCAGGCCTGTCCTGAACATGGCACAGCCTCTCTCCTGCATGAGCTTTCCTGGAGCTCCACGCTTCCTGTGTCCATCTCATTCCCAGCTTTTTCTTTGATCAGCTTCCTCTTTGTGTGAACTGCTACCATCGCCTCAGGCAGCTACCAATTTCAACAATCACTGCTGATGTTTTCAGCCCCAGTGGAATATTGTGCATAGTGGGTGAATACTGAATCAGCCAGTTAAACAGGCACCTGAGGTGTTCCAGGCACGTCCCAGACAAGCCAGATGACAACTGTCTCTGGCCAAAGGGTCTTTGGGAAGCTTTAGATTCCTCTGTCCCTGGTGTGATTCTGAAGCTGTTGGTTTTTAGTTGGCTTCCCATCACAGGGAGAAGTGACTGGTTAGCATCAGCCAACATTCAGTAATTTTTGAAACAATGCAAGTTTCTTGGGTTTTGCAAGCATCTGGTTATTTTCTTAAGCTCTGTTCAAGTTCGAATTTACCACTGCTGCTTGTGTGCGTCACGTATATGGAGAAGTGATTATATGTGGTTACTTTTTATTGGAAAGGCAAATTTACAGAGAGGAGGAGAGATGGAGAGAAAGATGTTCCATCTGCTGGTTCACTCCCCAAGTGGCCACAATAGCTGGAGCTGTGCCAATCCGAAGCCAGAAGCCAGGAACTTCCTCTAGGTCTCCCATGCAGGTGCAGAGTCCCAAGGCATTGGGCCGTGCTCAACTGCTTTCCCAGGCCACAATCAAAGACCTGGATATGAAGCAGAGCCACCAGGAATAGAACTGACACCCATATGGGATTCTGGCTTGTGCATGGCAAGGACTGTAGCTGCTAGGTTACCGCACAGGGCTCAAGATAGCATTTTAAATATATATCACAGTCACAGACTTATTGACTCCATTAAATAAAGAGTTCAATAGGGCATGGTCCAGCAATAAAACAGGTCAGGGCTACACACAGTAGCCAAAGGAAAGGAGGTTGGTTTAGTTTCAATCACATAAAGTGAATTTTAAAATAGTTACATAATCATTAAGAATGGAATGATATTTTAATTCCTATCAACTGGTTTGACAGATACTTAAAGTCTGAGAACACACTGTATTTGCAGTGTGTCTGATACACACAGACATTTCATTCTTTAAAATTTTATCTCCCTCATGTAAGGCAGAACATGATGTGTTAGTCTTTCTGTGTCTGGCTTCCAGAAAATCTTGTTCTGATAAAAATGTGTTTTTTATTGGTACATTGAATACTTTTAGTAGCTATTATAATCATAGGCTGGATTTATATTCTTTTGCTATTTTTATTTTGAAAGAGATTTTTTTAATGCATTAGATCACTCCACAAATGACTACAACAGCCAAGGCTGGGCTAGGACCGAAGCCAGGAACCTGGAATTCCATCCAGGTCTCCCACTTGTGAGTGAGCCAGTAAACACATCTCTCTCTTTCTCTCTCTCTCTCTCTCCTCTCATCTCTGTCCTGTTCTCTCTGTAAGTTTGCCTTTCAAATAAAAAGATCATCTTTTACTAAAAATAGAAATTATTTTCTTAGGATAACTTCTGCATGATAACATATACTCTCAAAGGCCACAAACCTGTTATGCTTCAGGTGCTTGGGAAAGAATTTCATGGATTTATGTTTTCATCAATAATGTATGCATGTATTTATGGCCCAGTTTAAATTAGCATCATTTAAGAATTAACTGATAAAAATTTAGAATGATTAATGAGCTTGAATGACTTATACCTCTGGTTGAATGTGGATCATCCATTCTTGTGATCTTAAAATGTGTTAGAGCTGTCCTGTGAAGAGTAGTTGATACTGTTTTCCCTTCTGAAAAAAAAGAGCTTATTATGTAGTATCGTGGCAAGTTGAAATCACATATGAGTTGTTTTCCTTAATATTAACATATATCTTAATCTTTGCTATAATGTTGAGAAGAACTAATATCTTTTTGTTGCACTAGTAACAAAAATGCTTTTTTTCCAATTTCTTAGAAGCTAGTAATAGCACATCTTTCAGGTGGTCCCAGAAAAAAAGCACACACCTTAATCCAAGACAAAATTTAACGCGTTAATGACTTTTGGCAATGTATTATATGCTGATGTTTTGAGGTTAACATTTTAAGTTATGATGCACAAGCAAACTTAGAATGTGTCCTTTCAAATCCAAAAGTTTCTTACTTAGTACTTGTGCAAAGGAAAACTTTGCCTAGTGTTGGTGACTTTCTATCAATTGCACAACATTGTTTTTCTTCCCAACTTAGTGTTTTTTCTTCCCCCTCAGTTTAAGGCCAATCCTCCTGCTGTGACATTTGAGCTATCTGGCGAGACAGATGACATATTTCAGATACAACCAGATGGACTTCTGTATTGTGTCCGAGCCCTGGACAGGGAAACGAGGGCTGTCCACCATCTTCAGGTGAGCTGAGACCAGACAAAGCATATGACTTGGTTTGTGTTGCACCTTTGATCCTAGAAGTGTCACCTTCTTGCCTTGTGTCCTGTGGCAGTGCTCCCAACATTCTCAGCATGCTTTGCCAGTTGCATCTATTTCTTACAAACTACAGAGGGTCATGGTCAAAATGTAAAATGTTTAGTTAGTTAGCCTTTGGGAAACCATAGTGAGAAGGAGAGAAACACACACACACACACACCAGTCCATTGTCATCTGTTGATTCACTCCCATATAGCTTCAGTAGCTGGAATTGGGCCAGGCTGGAGCCAGGAGCCAGGGGCCAGCAACCTTCTCCAGCTGTCCCATGTGAGGGTCAGGGATTTAGGTGCTTGAACCATCATCTACTGCCTCTCAGACACATAATAGCGACCTGGATCACAACAAGATGAGCCAGGACTCAAACTGGGATTGGGATGTGAGTGTCCCAAGTGACAGTTGAACACACCATGCCATAACACCTGCCCCTAGAGTAACTTAATTTACACTGCCAATCCCCTCAGGTGGTGTTACTCACAAATGCTGTTTCTATACTCAAGCTCATAGGTTCAAACCAAGCCAATACCTATCTGATGCTTCACTGGGGCTGTCCCTTTGGCCATTGCATGGGCTCTACCCAACACCATGGGCAGAGTGAGTACTGGATTGGGCTCCTTTGGGCCTTGGAGGAAGCAGAAGGAACCAGTGGTCAGAGGCTGAGTCTTCTCCCTGTCTTGTCTCATTCGTTTTCATGGTTAGCATCCAAATTCCTGGGAATGGTGGAGAGCTGACTGTGAGCAAGGGCAAGCTGGCAGCTGTTGCCCGGCCCCTTCTGCTGGGGGTTTGGCATGGGAGCCAGCGTAATGCTCTGCGAGAGGACAGGGCTATTTGTAGACTCAAGGTCAGAGTGCTGTCATATCAGTAGCTCCAGACACCTGGAAGAGAAGCATGTCATGTGTCCAGCACACCCAACTGGAGAGCTGCTGCCATGAACAGCCACACTCAACCCACTGGGTCCTTATTATAAGCAGTTCCCAATTGGGGATTTTATGGGTTCTTTTCCCCCCAAAGGCACCTGATCCATGATTTTGTGAGCTCTGCACTCCTTCAAGTGGCTTCAGGTTATATGTTTTGAAGTGCAGCCTTACCAAGATGGTTCCCTTTACTTCAACATCAGGTTGTAGCCCTGGACAGTCATGGAACTGCAGTGGAGGGCCCAGTCCCCATCACTATAGAAGTGAAGGACATCAACGACAACCGACCCATGTTTCTCCAATCCAAGTACGAAGGCTCAGTGAGGGAGAACTCACGCCCAGGTAACAGGCATGGGCCTGGAGACACTGATGGAGAGATGGAAGGGTATCGGGTAAAAGGGTGTGATTCATGTGGCTAAGAGCCATGACCATGGTGCACATTAAACCCTTGCTATCATTGAACTTCTGGGAGTTGATTTGCTGTCCCTGTTGCTCTAGAACAGGCTTTTTTTAACCCTTGTTACCATGGAAATCTTAGCCCTGCTCTATTTCTTTTCTTGAGAACTGTCTCATGCATGATCGGACATTTATCAGCTCCCCTTTTCTATACCCACTACATGTCTGGAGAAACCTCTTCCCTCCCAAATTGTGACAATACAGATGTCTCCAGATGTGTCCTCTGGGGAGCAGAATAAGCCACTGTGGAAAAATCTGTCTCAGGGTGAGTTTTGAGATTCGTTAGAGATCCAGGCCACTCTGAGGAGGCAAGCTCACTTTCCCATGTTCTTGGAGGACCATGCATGATCATGGTCACTGCTGGTACCCGTGCCTTCTTTTTTCTTGGCTAATGTCCATCACCCAGCTCTGGCTCATACCTTCTCCATGTTGTATTGGTCTTACACTCATCACTTCTACAAGAGTCCTCCATGAAGGCATAAGGGTAGAAGGCACCTTTACAGGAGCATCACATCCTAACAGCACACAGTAGCAGCGAATATCAGACTTCTGAATTTTGGGAAAGAAGTCTTGGACATTTCCATCAGGAATCTCTTAATGCTACTCTGTCTTTTCCATATCTTGGCTCTCCATAACTGAGTGTAAAAAGAATTCTTCCATTTTATTATGAAGAAAAATTTCACTGTCGCTGTTCCTGAGGCTGCTTGCCAAATCTCACCCATAGGGTGTTTTGCACTGATATTCTCCAGGTCTTTCTTTGCAAATTTCTTTAATGGATGGATTTAATGGAAAACAATTGGATTCTCATGCCATTTTGGCATTGATTCTGTGACACATGTCACTTTGGTTGATATATATGAAGAAAATTTAGCCTCATAGGGCATATAGGTAACTGAGAAAGACTATTTTGATTGTGTTTCTGATAACTGTGGGCATTATTTGATACTATGCCAACATTCAGCAAGTATTAGTTGCAATATGGAATGAGTGAATCTTTTCTATGTATATGGTTTTTAAGTCCACAAACCCTTTGAAATGGTTTCAGAGATTCCCATGGGTCCCTGGACTACACTTTGAACAATGCTATCAGCATCAAAATTTATCTTCCCAGTGACATGAATATGGAGCATTATATCCTATTTCATATCTGCTTTTAGGAGCCAAAGGTGATTGGTTGGTTGGTTTTCAATGACAGTCTTTGTTCATCTGCTTTGGTTTGTCCAACAGGAAGGCCCTTCATGTATGTCAATGCCACAGACTTGGATGATCCTGCCACTCCCAATGGCCAGCTTTTCTATCAGATTGCCATTCAGCTTCCCAAAGTTAATGATGTCATGTACTTTCAGATCAACAACAAAACAGGGGCAATATCGCTTACCCTGCAAGGTGAGTCAAGGGAAGCACTCCCGGAATAGTCTGGGTCAGAGAAAAGAGCTTGGATCTCACGTCTCCAGAGACATTCCCTTTTCTCTTCTCCTCTGCTTCCTACAGGGTCTCAGCAATTGGATCCCACTAAGAATCCATCCTACAATCTGGTGGTGTCTGTGAAGGACATGGGAGGCCAGAGTGATAATTCTTTTAGTGATACCACATCTGTGGATATTCTGATAAAGGAGAACATTTGGAAAGCACCAGAGCCTGTTACTGTTATAGAAAACTCAACGGATCCTCACCCTTTCAAAATCACTCAGGTAATACATCACAGCCAGAACCTTCTAGATAAATGGCCTTGCTATGTGGAAAGTTGTCCTCGTGGTCTTCATTTTTGTACATTTACTAGACATGCTTTTTGCATAACATAGTTATAAAGAAAATTCAGCAGTCTCTGGTCTTGAGTCTCTGAAGTGTATAGCATGGGCAGAAAACTTGGATTCAGGTATGCATCTGAACTTTCAAGAAGAATTTCATTTACCCTTACCTTAAAAACTGAAAACGGAGATATTTGTTGTTCCCTGACCGGAATGTGGGGCATGACTCTCAGAGCACACATCATACACATGTACACGGTTTGAATTTGAAATTGCCAGTTTTTAAAGGGCTGCTTTTCAATCTCGTTAACCCGAATGTTAACCCAACCAAGTCACCCCCTTGGAGGCTGAGAGAGAGATAGCTCTGGCCACTGGTTAAAACAGCCTTGACTTTGGAGACATTCCTGTCCCATCCCCTGTGTGTGTCTCTCCAACTTCCATTCAAATAGTCCCATTTGCTCCTCCTCAACCTTACTTACCTGAAATCTGTTACATGCAGATCTAATACTTTCTGGAAGCTCAGGAGGTTACTGGGCTGAAAGCTGTGGGTTAGTGGGAGAGCCCTAGATTTGGAAGCAGCTGATCAAAACCGTGTTCTTTTTCTGTTACTTTAAGGATTTATTTCAAACAAGTAACAAAACTATCTCAGTCTCCATTTCCCATCAATAAAATGGGGATATCATGTTTTTTATGAAGATTAAATGAAGCAGTACCTGTGAAAGTGGAGAAAGAGTATTATATTATAAGCAGGTACCAATCTATTGCTCCCCTGTGGTTAAGAAAATGATGCTATTGTTGTTGCTAAAACACTCTGGAATGGCCCCATACAGTTATATCTTTTGTAGAATGTAAAGGACTTCTACTTACTTAATGCTGAATCAAATACACACACATACATATACATATATACACACATATATATGATATACATGTATATATATACACACGATATACATGAGTTTTATATACATGTATATGTATATAACTGAACTAGCTTTAGAACTTTGGGAAAGTCACATTTTTTGAAGTGCTCATTTGCAAAACAGGACTATAGGATTATGTGAGGATTGAATGAGATAATACATCAAAATATTTACCATTCTTGTTTTGTCTGTGGTGAACTCTTAGAGGTTAGTGTTAGAATGTTAGTGATCCTTGGCTCTGTCTATGCAGCAAAAAGCTCAATCCCATAGCAGAGTTTTATTTTTATATGGTTGTTTGCCAGACAACTCCAGGTAGTTTTTCCTACTCCTGAAGTTTTTAATCCTAAAGATTCAGAGGCAGAATGAGCTTTCCTTGTGAGCCATTTGTCTGTCTTAGGTCAAAGGTTCCCTCCTGCTCTTACTCCTCTCCAGTGGTGATTTTGAAAGATCGCCATACATCACAGCTTCATCCTCAGACAGTGCTTGCTGCAAAGTCCATTTTGTTTCCTAAATGGATATTTCATGGATATGGATCCTTCATGGTCAGACTTCTAATGCACACAACCCATGAACTCCTTAGAGGATTTATGAAGATTTGTTTAAAAGAAGAAAAATTCTGTGCTGTGGATTTCTTGAATAACGTAAATTTTTTAATAGGGGTATTTTATGTTGGAAGTGGAAAATGTAGTTTTATTGTTTCAAGAAGCCATCAGTTTACAAACAGGGCTGTCAGAAATTGCAAATTGAGAATTGAAAATCATTTATTTCCTTTCCAGTTTTCTTGATCCACCCAAATATGTCCTCATTACAGTCTAATTTTGGCCCCTTAGGTGCAGTGGAATGATCCAGGCGCACAGTATGCCCTAGTTGAAAAAGAAAAGCTGCCAAGGTTTCCATTTTCAATTGACCAGGAAGGAAATATTTATGTGACTCAGCCCCTGGACCAAGAAGAAAAGGAGGCAGTGAGTATAAGAGGGAGGATTGCATAGGCAATAGGATAAAGTCCAATGGTCACCTACAGTTGAGAGCAAAATTGATTATACAAAAAAAAAAATCTGGTCTGGACCCCATTGTACTATTGGATTTCAAAGACACCGTTGTTTGATAATTTCCTCACAAATCTAACCCTTTTCATTTAATTCTTATTTCCTATTTGTAACTAAATTGAAAATAAGGGGTTACATGATATAAAATGAAGCCATTCCTTTCTCTGCCCTTAAGAAAGGATAGTTGAAAGAGTCTTAACTCCAAGCTTCTTGTTTCAGTATGTTTTTTATGCAGTTGCAAAGGATGATGATGGAAATCCGCTCGCCTTCCCACTGGAAGTGCATGTGACTGTTGAAGACATCAATGATAATCCACCCACATGTCCATCTGCAGTGACTGTATTTGAGGTCCAAGAGAATGAAAGATTGGGTAAGAAAAGAGCTGTTTTGTGCTGTGTAACTGTCCTCCCTGTGTTAGCTCTGTAACCCTTTCTCTGTTGGGTCAAAGGTGATAGGTAGACATAATTGGGATCATAGAGGTCCTGTGTACCTTTGGAATCATGCAGGTACAGTATTTTTCGATAAAAAATGTATTTGGGTAGAATTCTTTTTACAAAGTTTTATTTATTTTATTGGTTGCTTTGAAAGGCAGAGGGAGGGACAGAGTGTGTGTATGTATGTGAGAGAGAGAGCACAAGAATGAGAGAGAAAGAGAGAGAATCTCCTTTCTGTTGGTCCACTCCCAAAATATTCAACAACCATGGCTGGGCCAGGTCAAAGTTGAGTCTGGAATTTAATCAAAGCCTCCCATGAGGATAACAGGATCCAAGTACTTAGACCAAGTTCTGCTGTCTCCAAGGCACATTAGCAGGAAGCTGGAACAGGGAGTGATGTTGGGAATAGGACCCAGATATTCTGATGTGGCATGCAGATGTACCAAGTGGCATCTTATCATTACTAAGCCCAACTAATGTCTTTCTTCCTCCTCCTCCTTCCTCCTCTCCTCTCTCCCATTACTCTGCTTATTCTTTTAAGGTTTTTATTGGAATGTGAATATACTTGGGGATATGGTTTTTAAAGAAGTGATTAAGGTAAAATGGGTCCTTACCAGGGGCCTTAATTCACAGTACTGATGTCCTTATAAAAAGGAAAAAGTGGATACAGAGGAGTGTGGAAGGAAGAGGGTATGAAAGCTTTGGGGACAGAAGAGAGCCTTCCCTGAAAGACAAGGGGAGAGGCAACAGAGGAAACCAACCTTGACCTCCAGAACTCAGAGAGAATGAACTCCTGTGGTTGAAGTCACTCAGTTCATGACACTAAAAGGCAGCCTTAGCAAACTGATGCATTACAGCCATTCAACGCATTATGCTATGGAAAAGGTCACAGAATCGAAGTGAACCTGAAAGACTATGTCTCCTACATAGGAGTTTTTGGTGGAATTTTCTAGGAACCTGCTTATCCAGCAAAACCATATATTAAAAATAAAAAGAAAAAAAAAGATTACCTGGATCCTTTAATGAGTGGATTTTCTCTCTTTTCAATAGGCAGCAATATTGGGATCTTTACTGCACATGACTTGGATAAGGAAAACACTCCCAACAGTTTGTTAACATACCAGATTGTGGAGCAAGTTCCCCAAATTCCTGTAGATGGGCTCTTCCTGGTTGAAAAATTCGAGGGGAAGTTCCAGTTAGGAAAACAGTCCTTGAAGAAACAAGATGCTGCTCAGTACAATGTAACAGTAGAAGTGTCTGACAAAGGTTAGTATTGCACTTGCTGCCGTGAGTACAGACAACCGTTTTCCTTCCAGTTCTGTTCTCTTAGGATCCTTTGGATTGAGGAGGCCATTTCCTATATCCTTGTGAAACACAGAGATGGCAGTGCCATCGAGGCCTTGCAATATGGCTCAGGCAACACAGTGGTGTTGGCTGGGTCCTCAGAGGAAGGTGCCAACAGGGCACTGATATGCTTTACTAGAGGATGCCTTTGAGACAAAATGGGAAGAACAGAGGGCATTAGGAAAAGGCTGGGAGAACTTGCAGGCCATAATACAAGCCTGACCTGAGTGAGGGAGAGAGTGGGGAAGGAAGCTGGTAGGAATGCCCTAGACCACTGGGAAGTCTACTGACAATTTGTAATAGCAGTCAGGAAGTATGATATGGGCCATCACTTCTAAGAGTGTACCTGCCTTGGCATCACTTCTGGCCTCAGTCACTGGCTGTGGGTGTCCCGGGGATGCGAGGTCCCAGTGTAAATGCAACACTGCAAGTCTGAGCACAGCTGTGGGGCCGCCATTGATGCATATCCCAATTGTTGGAGGATGAACTTTCTTATGGCCATCATGATTATAACGGGAAAATAACTGTGTTTCTCTTTTTTTTTTTCATTTTAGACTACTGTGTGAAGGTAGGGAAGAATTGCATCTTTTAATAAGTTTTATCTTCTATCTGCTTCTAGTGGACCATATTTATTTTTTCAGATTTTTTTTGTTTGGTAGGCAGAGGGAGAGGAAAAGAGAGGAGAGGGGATGGAGGGAAGGAGAAGGAGGGGAAAGAGAGATTATCATAATGATCTGGGCTATGCCAGACTGAAGCCAGGAGTCTGTAGCTTCTTCCAGGTCTCCGACATAAGTGCAGGTGCCAAGCATTTGGGCATTCTGCTGATTTTCAGGCACATTAAGTGAAAAGCATAATTGAATTGAAAGTAAGAAGCTTAATTAACTGGATTAAAAATGGAGTGGCCAGGACACAGAACACTAGCTTTGCAGGCAGCAGCTTAATTGGCTGTGCTACAATGCTAGCTCCCTACTTGAACATTTGATGACATCCCACCACTATTTCCCACTCTTCATACACTTTCAGAGCAAGCCATTTTTAAAAGATTCATTTGTTTTTATTGGAAAGTCAGATATACAGAGAGGAGGAAAGTCAGAGAGGAAGATCTTTCATCTACTAATTCACTCCTTAAGTGGCCGCAGTGGCGGAGCTGAGCCGCCTGAAGCCAGGAGCCAGCAGCCTCCTCCAGGTCTCCCACATGGATGCAGAGTCTCAAGGTTTTTGGGCCGTCCTCCACTGCTTTCCCCGGCCACAAGCAGGGAGCTGGATGGGAAGCAGGGTCACCAGAACACAACTGGCTCCCATATGGGATCCCAGTGCGTGCAAGGCAAGGACTTTAGCTGCCAGACTATGTCATTGGGCCCAGAGCAAGCTATTTTTTAATCTTGGTTAGATCATAAGACCCATGCAGATGTCTAATAAAAAGTCTATATTCTCAAAGAGTCAAATACATTATTAGGCAAAAGTGCATTGACACACAAATATACAGTGATTTCGAGAGAAAGATTGATTTACAGGGCACACAGAAGAGTGTGGAAGGTCAAGAAACTTTTGTGGAGTTACCAAGTGTGAGATCATAGATTGTCACATCATCAAGCATTGTTGTACTAGGAGACATGGATTTCAAAGAGACCAGAGAGGAAGTAGAATGGCTGTGGTTAGAGAAGGAATGACATTCCCGGGAATGCCCAGGGAAACATGTCTGGAAGGGTAGTTTCACAGTGGATTTTGAGGACTGTTTGAATTGTGTTAGTTATAAGGAAGCTCATTCACAGAAACACTGGCCTGACTTTTCAGAAACAATCCTTATCTAGGATGCAGGCATGTGGAGGGCAATGGGATGCCCAGGAAAACATTCAAGTCTGTGTTCAGTTCCTGCCTCCACCTTGGTGACCTGCTGGTGCTGTGCAGGCAGAGAGCAAGGAAAGCTCTTTCCACGTGAATTGCAAGTTGATTGTGAAGTCATGGCAATAGCTGTCATTTCATGTGCTTTTTTCTTGCTGATTTCTGATTGTAATGTATGATTTTCAGTGAAAATTTCCGTGTTATGACTTTGGTTTTCAGATTTCAAGACCCTCTGTCTTGTGCAAATCAACGTTATTGATATCAATGATCAGATTCCCATCTTTGAAAAGTCAGATGTGAGTAATTGGCATGGTTCATTTTTTTCCTTTACTTTGTTCATGTTACCTGACCCTGACTTCTGGGAAGAAGATACTGAAATTGTTTGGGGAAAATGCCAGATTTTACTGATAACATACCGAGATACCATCTTCAGTGCAAGTCTATAGGAATAGTAACATTTACTGTTATTGCATCTGGGAACAACTATCATAAACTCCTGCCAACCTTCATTTATCCCCAAGGCTACTTTAAAGCTGCGGTCAAAGGGAAAGGAGTTGAAAAGCCACTTGGAGTTTGTCATCATCTGTTCTGTGCATAGTAAGACAATAAGGTGCTACTTAGCCTTAAATAGTATTTTTTGGTTTTAAAAGTAATATTTGGAATATCAGCAACTGAAAATTGTTTCACCATAATGGGATAAGAGAAACAAAATAAAGGGATGAGTCTCTGGTTTGAGCTGAAGAAAAATGGCTCATGTGAGAGGAGAATTGGACGTGGTGAGATAAAGATCAATTTGGGACATCAAGAAAAATGCAGGTGACTCTTTCTTTGTTGATGGTATGGGCTAAGACTTGGTGATGGCATTGTCCCTGTTTGAATGGACCTCTCTGTTTATTTGCAAGGGGGTAGGGGAACTCATTTGTTAGGTTCTGTTTGAGGCAATTATGAGGCATTCCAAAACCCTGTGTAAGGATATTCATGAATCCAATCAAGGACAAGGCTGTCATAAGGTAAAGAATTGATTTCTATGGAGGTAAGAGGTGTAACTGAATGTGTCTCGTATCACAGAGACTGAGATTAAGCAAGCAGAGCATAAAGAACCTGTTGTTCTTAGCATCCATTTTCTTCGATATCCTATCTTTTCCCAGAGTCATGATCCCACTGCATTTGGTCTAGACAGTACTTTGTAGGTTTAGGGCAGGAATCTTGTTTTGGGGATCTTAGAAGTGCATGCAAGTACAAATCTGGCTAGAGAGTGAGCTTGCCTCGGTTATTGCCATGGTTCTCTCCCAGATCCTCTTCTCTTGTCTTCTTTAAGGTTATGATGCCAAGAGAACTGCTCTGGGGGTTTTCAAGATGAGTGGGTAGTTTTCTATGCTTTAAGATTTGGGCAAAGAGAGGACTGAATACAAGTTCTGTGATTCACTGATGTGTGGTGCTGAGTTTAACCTTTCCATGTTAAATGGAGATGATAATGTAGGTAGGTACTCAATAGGGTGTTTAGTTGCTTGTCCTTATTGAGTACTAAGTATATAACAGGCATTTGAGGAGTTCTTATGTATTGCCTCTCTTAATCTCCATAGCAAACATGAAGTAGATTCTACTGTCTCCATGAAACATTTGATGACATTAATCCTTAAATACATGAGGTGGCTTGCTACATGTCACTCACTCAACTAGTAACTGACAAATTTAGGGCTCATACCCTGATCCATGTAATTCCAGAATTTAAGTTTTTTAAACTCTATTCCTTAGTAAGAATCAGTGTGAAGAATACAGGTAACATGCCTGCTGCATTATAGGTACCCAATATATTGCAGCTGTTGGTTGATAAAATTACTACAGTAATTATAATTAATAGTATATTTGCATATAGGCAGAGAAATGCATTTTAGAATTCTAGTAGTAGCTCTGTGAAGTGTTGTAGGGCCACAGATGTTAATTCATGAATATAGCTGATATTAAAATCAACTTCAATATAATCATAAATAGGAAAAAAACCTATCCTATGAATGTCAGTGCAACTATGAATTGTGTCCAATCTGATTCCAAAGAGACAACTTTGTCCTTAGCTAATAATGAACATTCTCACTGTTTGTTTTTTTTTTCCCGTCCCTCCTTAGTATGGCAACCTGACTCTTGCTGAAGACAAAGATGTGGGGTCCACCATCTTAATCATCCGAGCCACTGATGCAGATGAGCCATTTACTGGGAGTTCTAAAATCCTCTATCGGATTATAGAGGGAGACAGTGAGGGTCGGCTGGAGGTTGACACGGATCCCCAAACCAATGTGGGCTATGTCAAGATCAAAAAGGTAAGTATCCTATTGAATCTGTCTTTTTTGTGGATTAATTTCCTTGTGATTGTACAGAAGTAGTGGCAACAGTACCACTTGGGCATGGTAGTGAGCTCTACTCAGGCATGGCCTGACCATGCTTGGCAGGATGTATGTGTCTGTGAAGTTGCCCATTTTTTTAGGTTATCAAATTTATTATTATACAATTGTCCATAATTATCCTTTAATCTCTCCCCCTTCATCCTTCATTTTATTTATTTGAAGGCTTCCTCTTTTTCTCTTACTCTAGTTAAGGGTATGTCAATTTTGTTTATTTTCAAATAATCTTTGTTTCTTTGCACTTGACTTTTCTTTTTGCAATTTTGTCTTGGATGCTTATTTCAATTTTGATTTTCATTATTTCCTTGTTTTTGTAATTCACTGAGATGCAATAATAAGTTGGTTACTTGAGATTTTTCTGCCTTTTGATGTAGGCAATGATAAACTTCCCTCTGTCCTGCTTCTGCTGAATTTTGTAAGCTTTGGATTGTATTTTCATTTTAATTTGCTTCAACAAAAAACTTTAAATTTCCTTCTTAATTTCTCACTTGATCCATTGATTTTTCAGGTGTCAGTTGTTCAGTTTTCATGTCAAATTTTTTTTGCTATTGATTTTTAGTTTTTTTATATTGTGATCAGGAAAGATAATGGATATGGTTTAAAAATTTGTTGAAATTGTTTTGCTCCATCCTTGAAAATATTCCATGTGCTCCCAGAAAAACTTATACTCTGCAACTATGGATGGAAAGGTTTTAGATATCTGTTGGATTCAATTTATGCAGGGTACACTTTAGTTCTGATTCTTTGTTGAACTTCTAGATAACCTGTCTGTTTCTAAACATCCCCTATTTTTATTGCATTAGAGTCTGTCTCTCTCCCTTTGGGTTTACTCATATTGGCTTTATGTATCTGAGGGCCCCATCATTGGGGGTATGTATATATATGTAATGATTAATTCCTCTTGCTGTGTTGAACCCTTTCTAATTATATAATGATCTTACTTGTTTCTTTTCACTGTGTTTGATTTAAAAATCTGTTTTGTTTGTTAGAAGTATGTTAGTCCTGCTTTCTTTCGGGTTCCATTTGCATGGGATGTCTTATTCTGTCCATTTACTTTCGGTCTGTGTGTGTCCTTAAAAGTGAAATGAGTTTCTTTTAAACAGTGGTATAATTGAGCCTTGTTTTATCCATTCAGTGCCAATATATCTTTTAGTTGGATAATTTAATCCATTTATATTTAAAGGTAATTATTAATAAGTCAATTATTACTTCTACTATTTTGATATTTGTAGCCTAGTTTTATTGCAGTTTCTCTTCTTTATTCGTTTCTTACAGCCTTAGTTTGATGTTAAGTAAATTTCTGTAGTAATGTACTTTGATTCATTGCTCTTTATTTTTGGTAAGTCTGTTATAGATTTTTTGCTTTAGGGGTTACCATGAGGCTAAAACAAGTGTTTTGAAATAGTAACACCTTGACATTAATTATAAAGATAGGGAAACACACAACAATACAAATGGGGGTAAAAGTACAAATAAAGAATTTTATGCTTAAATTCCATCCCTCCTCATATTTTGTGCTTTTGATTGCTATTTTGTGTCATATAGCCTCTCAATATATTAATGTAGTTACTATTATTTTTATACTAAAATAGTTTTCACATGTAAATAGTTTCTTAGCATATTTTCTATATTAGACCATTCTAAATTTGTCCAGATAGCTATCCTTACCAGTGAATTTTATACCTTTTGATACTTTTCTTTTTCTTAGCAACTCTTTTAGTTTGAAAAACTCCCTTTAGCATGTATTATAAGGAAGGTGTGATTACATAAATTCTCTGAGTTTTTGTCTGGGGATCTCTTTATCTCTGCTGCATGTCTAAAGGACAGCCTGGCTGGATTCAGTGACCTTAGGTGTCAGGATTTTTTCCCTTCAGTCTATTAAAGTCTCCTTCTATTCACTCTTGTCAGGAGAGGTTTGCTAAGTCTGTGGGCAGGTAACTTGGGACCTCTTTGATGTGTTCTCTTGTTTTATAAAAATTTTATTTATTTTCTATCAGAAAGTCAGATTTACAGAGAGAAGGAGAGACAAAGATCTTCCATTCCCAAGTCGCCACAACAGCTAGAGTTGAATCGATCTGAAACCAAGAGCCAGGAACCAACTCCAGGTCTCCCATGAGGGTTCAGGGTCCCAAGGCTCTGGCCATCCTCAAATGCATTCCCAGGTCAAAAGCAGGGAGCTGGATGGGAAGTGGAGCAGCCAGAACATGAATCAGGACCCAAATAGGATCCTAGTGTGTGCAAGGCAAGGACTTCAGCCGCTAGACTACCATGGTGGGCCCATGTTCTTGTTTTTTCTTCCAGCTTGAGAATTCTCAATCTTTAACTTTGGAGAAATTTAATGATACTGTCTCTTGGCACCAACTTAGCTAAGTTGAACCTGTCTGATGGCCTCTGGCCTTCTTACATCTGGACAGTTGTATCTTTTTCTAGGTTTTGAAAATTTCCTGTTATTGCCTCATTGAGTATGTTGCTTTACATTCTTGATATTTTAAATTCCTCTGTGAGCCCCAGTTCCTTGATTATTTGCTCTTTTTGTGCTGTGTCAAAGTTCTGCTAAGCCACTTTCATTCCTCTTCTTTTTCCTCCAAAACTATATTTTTAAGTAGTGTGTTAGTTTGCTGATTGCTACATCTGTTTGATTTTTATTTTTGTTAATAAATTCCAGTGAATTCCATCATTTAGCAATTCCTCTTGGACCCAGCATGATAACCTGGTAACTCAAGTCCTTACCTTGCATGTGCCGGGATGCCACATGAGCATCAGTTCATGTCTTGGCTGCCCCACTTCCCATCCCTGCGTGTGGCCTGGGAAAGCAGTCAAGGATAGCCTAAAGCCTTGGGATTCTATGCCAATGTGGGAGACCCAGAGGAATCCTCTGGCTTCTGACTTTGGATTGGCCTGGCTCCAACTGTTGTGGTCACTTGAGGAGTGAATCAGCAGATGGAAGACTTTTCTCTGTTTCTCCTTCTTTCTGTAGATCTGCCTTTCCAATAAAAATAAATAAATCTTTAAACATTTTTTCTTAGTGTACTCTTCAGCTGAAATATTTCCATTTGATTTTTTAAAAGTGATTTCATTTCTCTTCTAAGTCACTGTGCTAGAATATTAAGTCATTTCTCTGTTCTCTTGAAGTCCATTGAGTTTCATTAAAATAAGTATTTTAAATGCTTCAAATGAGCTTTTGATGTCATATCCTGGATGGTTGGTTCCTGGTACCTTATTGCAGAAATATTTTAAGCAATATATTTATTAGAGAGGGACGGCAGGAACACACTTACTTGAGTAGTGACCAGTGAATCTGCATCAGCAGGAAGTTGAGTCTACCTGCTGGAACATCCTGACCCTTGTAGCTTGGTCAAGCTCTCACCACTATGATATTTTAAGTGTCTTTGTTAGGTATTTGTTAAGCAAAATCATGGTTCAGAGAGTTCTTGATAGCATTTTCACATTGAAGTGTTAGCTTTTTTGCCCCTCTAGCTTTCACTGTATACTTTAATTTGTGGCAATCCTTCCAGAAATTCTATGCAGGGCACTTATTTTCCCTAACCTTGTGAGTGTTTTTGACACTAGGTAGAGTCCTAAATTCTTGTTTGCCACAAGTCTTCAGCCAGTGTGCATTTTTGCCTGGCTTAGAAGACCCTCTCAGTTCAATTTTGTCCCAAGTCTACAGTTAACGTGCTGCTCAGAATGAACTGGGGAAGCCTATGAGCCTTAACTTGGGTCTAGATACCTAATCTTACGGCCACCAATGCCACAATGCTAAATCAGACCTGGAACCCGAAACCCATCCAGTATTGCACAGCACGGTGTTTGGACCAACACCTACAATACTATTGTTTGCAGATAAAGTGGACTCACAGCCTGCGGTTGCTGCAAGTAACACAGGCTGGAATCAAGTTGGAACCACTGGAGCGATGAATTCCACTTGGTGTTGGGGCAGGTCCAGAGCCTCCACCCATAGTAACTTGCCTGTGGAGGAGGAGCTGCTCAGTGTTGGGTTTTACCGCTGTAGCACAGAGTTCCAAGATCAGTCCTGTGGTTTCTTGTCCTGTGCCCAAGCATGGGGAAGGGTAATAAAGGCGGTGCTTCAACTCTTTAAGCTGATACTAAAGTGGATCACAGTGGGCATCTCACACCTACCAGGCTTTGTGCAATCTTGGTGAGCACACAGGTCCTACATGAGACTGGTGATGATTCAGGCTGAAATGACCCCATCCACTTGGGTTCAAGTCTCTGCTTGATTCCACGGCAAATCTAAAAACTCCATGGGTAGGAACATAACTGATTCCCATGAAACTTGCTGTCCAGGTTGCTATTCTGGGGGCTGGGAGGGATCAGATCACCGGACCATATTATTCTATCATTATCTTTATCTACCTCTTTTTTTTTAGTCACTTTATATTTGGAGCCCTTTGGGCTTCTGTCTTCTAGTTACCAACAAAAGACATAATAGGCTATAGTGAGCTATTTTAATTGCACTGTGCTGTGGGATGGTAGAACCTAATCCTTTTGTATAACTGCTTTGGTGCTAGTTTAAGTTTTAACTCACAATAAAAGGGAGAATATATGCTATTCATCTCTCTGTGTCTTTCATACTTCATTCAACATGATGCCCTCCAGTTGAGTCCATTTTGCTACAAATGGTAGAACTGCATTCCTTCCTATAGCTGAATGATACCCCATTGTGTATATATGCCACCTTTTCTTTATCCACTTATCTGATGATGGACACATTAATTGATTACAAATTTTGGCATCCAGTTTTACCACTGCCATTTGTTGAAGAGACTATTCTTACTCCACTATGTGGTCTGAACACTTTTATCAAGAACCAGTTGGGGCCTGGCACGATAGCGTAGCAGTTAAGGTCCTTGCCTTGCACACACCGGGATCCCATATGGCACCGGTTCTAATCCCGG